TTACATTTTCTCATTACAAAATCAGTAGCAACGCTTCGGCGATGCGTCTTGTCTCCTTGGTGACGTCACTACCAGCAACCAATGGCACGCTTTTTCCGTTCCTGGCCTAACCTTAGTATTAAGGCTACGTAGCTCTACTTAGTATATTAAAGAACCTTGGAAAGAACAGGTTAGCTCACTTGGAGTAAACAAACGAAAAGCCAGCGACTCGTTCGGCTGTGACGTCACTGAAGTTCGCTGTAGCATCTCCTAATAGTAGTTTCGTATTTCATTTTGAAATATTTTCTGTTTTTCATCGGAAAAGTAAAAATTCTAATATTTGGAGTTGAAACTTAACTGCCTAAAATATTGTTTACTGTATAGAATAAGTTTTTTAATTACGAAAAGTTCCCTCAGTAATTTATTGTTTCACAAAAATCTTCCAAACTTCCTTACAGAATTTGCTATTCAAGATTCAGCTGTTTATACCGTTTTAACGTACTCATTTAGCTTCAACAGACTGAAAACCCACATTTCACAAGAACTGGAAAATATGTAGTTGTAGTCAGAATTTTACTTTTCAGTTCAGAAAAATATTTAGAAGTTTTATTTAAGAAAAAGGCTATTAGAATTTTTAAGAAAAATTTATTCAGTAGAAATTTAATCTCAAAAATTTTTATTTTTAGCAGCAATAAATTATATTAAAAACCCTTATTAAATGTTAATTTACCTCTTTACATTTTATTGAATTATTTTAATAAATAATAATCAATTAATTGTTAATAATTGCAATAATTTGCTAATATTAATTAAATAATTATTTATTAATTTGATAATAATTATCTATTTAATTTTTAAATGCTAAATAATTTTAATAGTCATTTTATTTATTTATTTACTCTTGTTCCTCTTTACTAACGGTCTTCCATAGGGTTCCGGCACTTCTAATTTTAGAAATTAAGCCCTGAGAGTGGCGATGTAGAAGAAATTCAAATTAAGAATATTTATTCTATAAAACTGTACAAACTTGTCCCTAATGTTTGGAATCTAATTTGGCTGAAGTTGAAATTAATTATTTACTAAAGCCTACTTTCGGTCCAATTGTTTCTGCAGTACTTGTTTCATTTAGAAATCTTAGTTTACTTGTGGCTTTTTTTTTTTTTTTTTTCCCAGATGAACTCGCATGAGATTTTCCTGTAAATATGATTTTAATTTTAATAGATTAAAAAAAAAAAAAGAAATTGCATAAAATTATAACTCGCTAGATTCTAAAACTTGTTTTGTAAATTTCTTGATGTAAAGCAGCAACAAGAAACATAAACAAATGAACTATTCAAGCTATAACTGAAAGGAAGTGTAATACTTAATTAGCAGACTCTTTAAATTCAGCAGCTGCATTATGTAATTCTATATAAAAATTGGAGACTTAATTTTAATTTAAATCTTAATTCTTTGAATCCTTTGAATTTTACTTTTTAGCAAAAATAAAAAATAAAAATTTCCAAAAAAGTATTCAGATAGAAGATGTTAACTTTTTATATAAAATAATGATTAAAAGATATTAAAAGAATAGTTGCATATCCTCTATTATGTGTTTCGCTTATTAATATTGTATATTTAGAATTTTATCTTTTAGGTTTCTATATTTATTTCACTTATGTATTGTTTAATTTATTAAAAATAGTAACGAAATGAAACATGTAGTCATTTTCTGGATTGTCATCCTCATTTTTTATTTCAGAGAAGTAAATCCTAGATATTAATAGGTGGTGTGGTGTGTGTGATTATGGCAAAGCCTCGAAGGCTATGCGCCTGAAGGGAGGGATGCCTTCGTGGAGGACTTTCTAAGGGAAACTGGCTCGTATACTCGTTACACATGGGGAAAACGACCATGCAGCCAGGCCGTTCGCTGGATTCGAACCTCGGACCGATCTACCAGTGTTTAGCGACTTTACCGCTCGGCCGCTGGTGGGCAGATATTAATAGGACTGAATGTTGTATGTGTTTGTTTTGGTATCAAAAAAGAAATATGTTTATATAATAACTTATATATTACATTTCATTTAGCATATTCAGTTTAACCATTCTATGAATTAAAAAAAATTAGAGTTAGTTTAGTTGTGGAAAAATATTATTTATACACAGATAAATGCACTCATAAAAAATTATGCAGTTTATCTTAACGTCATTTGACTGTTATCGTACTTTCTGTGAACACATGGAAAAAGGGTGGATGTTTATTTAATATGATGACCTGTGTACAATATCCCCACAGACATAATGATTACATTCGTAGATACTAGCAAAATATTCTGCAGGTAAATTTATATAAATGCAAAAGTCAAAATTGGTACTAAATTTTAAACACTACATTCAACAAAATCTTAGTAAATATGGATCTTAATTTTATAAATGAAATTTTGTATGAAATATATCATGGTGCACTGTATAGTAATGGAATGCAAATTTTAAAAAAAAATAAAAATAAAATATTTGCTTAAAGTTATATTATTCATTCATAATACAAATCATAACAAATTATAAGTACAGATAGAAAATGAAATTTTATATTTTACAAGAATTTTAGCATATTTGTTTTTTTAAACGTTTCTATTCTTAAAGCATACATTTCCTAAACTTTGATTGCATTTAAATGCATGCTGTGTATTACTCCGTTTTCAAATAATATGAAAGAAAAAAGCCTTAATAATTAGAAAATTAATATTGCTGAAGGAACTGCTTTACTGTCTTTCCAAAATTACTGTAACTAAATTATCCAGAACTGATAGCCTTAAGTATAAAAATACAACTTAATTTGCTCGCCAAATGAATTGTGGACTTCTAAAATGTTGCTTTCTGTACTCTGCGGTGTTGTTAGTCCTTCTTGTTGCTTACATGTACTCCGTGTATTAATGATATTGTATTTCTGGCATGTACCATATTAACAGTACAATAGGCTCAAATTCTAAGTAACTGACAAGGCCCATCAGCTGAACACTAGTGATTTGACTTCAATTCCTGGAGAAAAGGCTGGTTGCATGGCCATTTTCCATGTGTAAAACGAGTTAATTAATGCAGTGAGCTACATACACATAATTTAAAACTATTTAAGCATATTTATATGCATCTGTCACAATTCACAAAAATATTCAAAACCGTTGGCATTTAAATACACCTAATAAAATGCATAGAAGTTTCTATATATATTAATGAATAAATTAATTTAAGTAACCCGAAAATTCAAAATAACTTGCATCAAATCAAAAACACACTATAAGTTTCTCTACCTATGAAATATACATTTTGCTGATTATTTTTTATTTTGCCTGCATTATTGGTGCATAATGCAATCGCGCAGTGCGTACCAACCATTATACTAAATAAATTTAATTATATTTGAGAGGGAAAAAAAAAAAAAAAAAAAAAAAAAAAAAAAAACGAATGAGTTTCTACAGTCGCGCACCAGCTTACATTCAGCTTAAATCAATGCAAAAATCTATGTTGATCTGAGGAGAGAAAACTTCAGTGACGTCACAGCCAATAGACAGCGAGAACGCATTTTCGTTTGTTTACCCCAAGTGAACTAACCTGTTCTTTCTACGGACCTTGGGGCAATTTCGTATTTGAGGAGAGTAAAAAGGAACTTCGTACATTTTGTACGAGTTCAAAAGGCCAGAAAAAAAAGATGGGACAAAATAAAATTTAAAATAAATGGCTCAAAAATAATAGAGGGGGAAAAAAGGGCCTATAGAAAGAAAAGGAAAAAGAAGTAGAAAATATCCTAAAATACGATTGTGTCCATGAGTGTAGTTAAAAGGAGTTCATTTGCAAAAATTAGTGTCTTTAAGAAGCAAACTTTAGCTAAGTTAAAAGAAAAAAAAAAAATGAATGGTAATGTGTATGCCTACATGGTAATGTGTATGCCCTTATCTTGAGACCTAACTAGAAAAGACATATATCATAACAGAGATGTACATAATATTTTAACTAAAGTAACATTAACTATTACCGTTCCCAAAATATTCATGTATATTTCAGAAAAACAGTAATTGACAAAATCATAAATCCATACACAGTGTGAGAGCATATCAGAAAAAATAAATTATACAGTTTATTTTTCTTAAATATTAGTTAAATATAAAATTAATTTATTAATTTAACCGTTGTAATTTATTATAGTACAAGTTTAACAAATTCCGTCACACTGTATTTATATTTCATCATAATTCTAAGTTTGATACCTGGAAAAAAAAAAGTCGGGGATCTTAGTTACAAAAATCACAATCTATACTCATTGATGGTCAAGAGATCCCCATCTCAAGAAATTCTTAAGCACGAAGAGGGAAGCCTCCGAAGGGTGTGAATTGCTGATAAGAACGGACTAATGTGGCGTCTCTACGGGATAGTTACGAAGAAAAGAACCACATGATTTCCTACTATTACTAACTATTGTATAATGCTAGAATCTTATGAAAAAAATAAATATAGAAATTTAATGGCACTTTAGTGATAGAGAATAAGATATTGTATAGAGAACAGAATGTTGCTTATCTGAATATTCCGTGTCAGGGTTTCTTTTGGATTTCTCGTGTGCGAACAAGATGTTTGAAGTTTCGAAGAAGCCAAGTTTCCTTCTCAATTTGATGAATGACACATCGCATAGGAAAGGTGCATTAAACTTTTTAGAGAGTTGAAAACATTTACTGAAACACTTATTTAAAAATTTCAGAGCTATGTTTAGATACTGCCTCCAGCTTTCGTGATCGAAGCGAAAGCTCCTAAATCATAAAATTACCAAGGAGGTTATGCAGGTATGCAGGTAAATTAACTGCCAAAAATACGAATTATTTCCTTTATGTTTGTTTATATTTTATTCAGGTGAGAAGAAATTGAAAATTTTGAATTTATAGACAAATGCGTTATTTTATGCAGTATTTGGTCCTTACCAAATAAAATTTCCCCAAACTAAATTTAGTCTTCCAATATTTTCCACTTATTTACATTACGAAGTGGCAGCATTTGTTATTGAAAATTCGGGCGGACGATGGTAATGAAGTAGATTGTGTTATAAAGTTTATTTTAATTGAGTAATTTTAGTAAAGAAATTTCATGAATGATAGGAAATTATGATGGGGATGCTTCCTTCGCCTTCGCAGGTATTTATGTAATTTTTACATAGTCGTAAGGTCTTTGAAGTACCCATGTTTTTAATTGTTCATGTAAAACGAATAGTTTACTGTCAAATTTAAATGCATTTTGGTTATACTGTGATGTTACAAAATTAATAAGAACCTGTAAAAGTAATCGCTGAAATTTATAGCCATTAACCATTTGGGATCCTTAATGATCTAAATCTTGATTTAAATATTTCGAGAGCTTGAAACATTTTAAGTTACAGATTTCGAGATGAACATAATACATTTGATGTTACTTAAAATATAAGCTGTGTTTTTTATTTAATGTAATTGATATATTTGGCCAATGTGAAATTGCCTGTGACATAACTTCCGAGTAAGTGAAATATCTGATATACTTTTATTCTTAAAAAGTGCGCTTATGTTACATTTACATAAAGCGAAAAGTGGGTTTTAATCGCCTTTCATGTTAAAATTCCAATGTTAAAATATTTCTTCAAATGGAAAAATTCTTGGTTTATAAAAATCTTTTTGTCCTTGCTGTGGTGATTTAAATATATCTGTTAATGAATATTTTGTAAGATATGCACTGAATTATGAAAATGCTTCTCTTTATATGTTGATATTTAATGATCAAATTTTCCATCTTGTAAAGTACATTTTATGCCTTGACCATTTCATGAAATTTTTCCTCCTAGTGCTAATAATAATATTACTTCAGTATTCTAATAAGTAATAATACTTTTAGGTTTTTAACAAGATAAAATAAACTCTTTTTTGGAATAGTAATAAAAGTCTTATTGCATTATAATCATTTCGTTGAAAAGTAATAAAAAGTAATATGCTGCTTTTCAGTGAAACTTAACAGCCTATTTATCTAATAAAAGTAGTCAACAAACTTAATTTTGCATTTATGCCAATTGTAGTAGCTGTACTCTTCATAGTTGTTAGTTATTAAGACTGGTTAAAAAAAGGCCTTCCTTTTTTAAAATGACTACCCATAGCTGCAAACAGTTTTGGTTTTTATTGGAAGTAGTTACTTTAGAGGGGTAACTTCAGCGAGGCCTTCTAAAGAGCACTTTGAGGATGATTATTCTATGAAGATCATATCTATAAGGTATTTTGAGTTGACAATTCAGTATTTTTTGTCTAATCTTTGGAATATGGTAACAGGTAGTTTGGCGACATTTTGGTAAGGCGATAAAGGTTACTAGCTAGGACTTTAGCAGTGTACATGGATAAAGTCAAGAGTGTGCGCAATGCCATTTTTGTGCAATTCTGGGATGTTTTTTTAAGTAAAAATAGGTTGACGTGTACATGGATACCGTGTATGTGCAATTCTTAAAAACGCGGCAAGCAGTGGGCGATTCTGCACTTTCTCCAATTTCGCAGCTAATCTTTGTCACGATTAAGCACTTTTGTTCCATAAAAGTTCTAGCATAAGTGTAATTCGGCTAGCAGATTGGGCTCTAGTGTAGAATTGGGTGCCCCTTCGATTGGCGATATTTTAAAAAAATTTTGGCGATGAAACCTCATTTGTGGTTACCACGATAGTTTTAACTTCCCGATTTTATTTAAATGAAAATAGATTGATGTGTACATGGACATATTTAAAGCAGTGCGCAATGCCTAGTTTGGGCAATTCTAGGATGTTTTTTTAAGTAAAAACAGATCGATGTGTACATGGACACAGATCTTGTGCAATTCTTTGACTTCTTATTTTGGTTTTGTGTAGCGGCCATCTTGAAACTGTGCCTTCCTGGCGCCAATCTTGGCGTCAAAAAAGAATCTCCAATAAACAAGGGGCGCCCAATTGTAAACTTTTACCACAGATTGTTGGGAAAAAAATTTTGAGTAAAAAAAAAAAAAAGAAGCCTTTACTTTGTGAAAACAAAATGGCGTCCAAAGAAAAACTAACAGGCTACTGTAGCAGGGTTGGTCGCCAAATTTTCACCAAAAAATTGCCAAGTTACCATAATCCGAAAATTAATCATTTTTTCTTTATGATATTTTAAGTGCATGCAATGTTTGTATCTTAAATTTAAATGCTGCTTAAGAAACAGAGCATTGAATATCTTGGATATTGGGTATTGTTTAGTGCGAAATCGTGTTATAATTTAATGTTCAGCATAGGTAGAGAATATCATTCTAAACCTTTGTTAGAAACACTGATAGTCTTTCCACTTTTGCATCATATTCAATTACATTATGTTATCTTACTTCAATGCAAAACAACATTATGAATTCATGTGATCTGGCAAAATGCCAATTCTGAAAGCTATTCTCAGTTTAGTAGCAAATTTATTTTAATTTATGTTTTCTGTCAGATTGAAAATTTAAATAATTTTTATCGGTCTTCTGAAAGATTTTAATTGAAAAGGCATATTGCATATTAGTATAATAAACCGAGAAATTATTCTTATGCTGCATATTAGTACATATCTGTAGCTTGATAGTTTGTTGCAGTTTTTTTTATTATAAACTCATTTTATAGTACTAAGATATTGAATTATTTTTCATAATAGGTTGCAAAGTCACATACAGCAATCTATGAAGCATTTTATCGGCAGGTAAGTTAAGATGTACATTTTGAATTTATGTAATATGTACTCTTGTGTTCAAAATGTTTATGCAAAATGCTTATAAGACAGTTCTATTTGTAACATAAAAATTATTGCATATTTACCTTTAAAGGTAACATGCACAAAATACCCTCTTATTTGAGCATTTTTGACTCTCTTGTAAGCAGTGGCAGAATAATGTGTTTAATATCGTCAGTGGCTTGCTGTCGTTTAGCTTTGTATAGCTTGAATTATTTTATATCGACCCATTAGAACTACGTTCATAAGAGAGTGTAGTAAGGTCAGAGGATGAGAAACATGGCAAATGATTTGTTTGCAGCATGATAGAGATGCATTATGAGCTCTGGATAATGCCACTTTGTCTCTTTCTTTAGAAAGTATGCTAATGTTCATATATATGGAAAATAACTTTTCCATTAACTTTTTGAATTGAGGAGTATTCTGGTGTGGCTTTTTTAGGACTTGCTGATGGCTAATTGGATAAAATACTAAACATTAACACTTTTATTCTCCATTTAATTCTTTTAAAGTTTGGCTATTATACATTCCTTTGTTGTTCTTCCAATTGCTAGGTAAATATGAGTTAATATTAATCTTAAAATTTATTCTAAAGACGAGACTTACAAAGAAGATGTTGCCAATGTTTTATCAAATTCGGTTTTATTTATATAAATAAATAAAAAAACTGGTATTTCATTAAACCACCTATAGGGGTTAGTCATGTAAATTGATAAACATTATGGTTTCAAGTAGCCAGATACTTGCAACTGAATACATTTGTCAGGAATGGCCAATACCCATCAGTTGTTCAGCTATCTCATCACTGAGAGTGTTGTCAAAGGTGATCACAGAGGGTGACTGATTTTACACATACAAGAGTGAGAAGCTCCATCCCAATATTTATGACTGGACCACCCCTCCACCCTTTTTTTGGGTGGCATACAGTTTTCTCACATATGAAGAGATAGCATGATACAGGAATCTCTTGAGAAGATTGTAAAGCTGTTAAATGAATTTTCAGAAAATGAATGTTGTGATAAGAATTCATCGGAATGTATTGTAATTTTGATTATGATGATAGTTATAATGAAAATGTATATGAAATTCTATCATTTAACATTGTGAAAACTAGCATACTTGATACTTAATCAGAAGAAGTCTGTCATGAAAAGTTTTCTTGTAATGAAAATAATCCAAGCATGTACAGAAGAATAGTTAAAAGGAAGCCCAAGTAACTGCTGAAGACTTCTAAAAGGAAAGGCATGGAGTAAATACATTGGAATTGACAGTATTTTAAGTACCGTGTACTATATATGCATTTGTGAACATCCAAGCCTTCTTTGTGATTCAAACCAGAAACCAATAATATGCAGCCAGCAAAACTAGCTACAAACCTTATCAGGGAGAAATTGACAAAAGAAGTATGTGTAATGTGCAACTCATGTGATTTTCAAGCTGAGTAACCAAAAAAGTGGTAGTATAATAAAGGTATTTCAGTAGCCAGTATAATAAAGAAGTACCTGAAAGTTTACTTATGTGCTTTTCACATATGAAATTAAATTCATGAAATGTTAAGCTAATTAATAAACTAAAGGATGTGGTGGCACTTTCTGATTATTCACACTCCACCCATCTCAACATTTGGTAGAATTGCTGTATTTTGAGGCATTTTTTAGAGTATATATGCTTCAATAACCAGTCCATGCAGACTTGTACCACATACATCTTTGAATTAATGTAGATTTATATGTTTTACGTTTAACTGTCATTTTGCTGAACAGTATCCACTAGCCATAAAAATCTAAATATCAGCCATATACACTTTTGTGTATTTCTCATATAATAAATGTCAAAGAGATGCTTTTCATCTGTTTATGAACGTAAAATTTAGTTGCGACCTTTTTGTGGGGATGCAAGTAATCAGAAAGTATTCTGATTTCTGAAAAATTACTGCGGGTATTTTCTGAATTAGTTGAATATGGATAGTTAGTAGCTACAATAGAGGTAAATAAGAAAAATATCTACCTTATATTCAGAAAATTTACCAACAGACTGTATCTCAAATGTAGAAGAAAATATGATTGCATATTTTTTGATGAGAGAGGCCACCTACATTTAGAAACAACAGTGTTGGTAATTAGCAATGCAAATTTCTTGGTCACTGCAGTAATTACACGTCTTTCAACCTATAAATCTTTCATCTTAATTTCAGTTAAATTACATATATGATTTTGTGCATTCTATTAATTATATATACTACTTAAGTACATTACTTTTTTTTTTTATTTGAATAAGGTATTTCTGGGTTTTTTTAGGTTGATCCAGCTGAGACTGGCAGTGTGTCAGCTCTTGAAGCAGCTGCTTTTCTCAAACGTTCAGGTCTTCCAGATGCAATACTAAGCAAAGTAAGACTTCTAATTTTTATTTTTAGCTGTCAGTTTATTATTGGTGTCTCATTACTTATATATTATACTATCATTATTGTAATAGTATACTCATTACTTATAATCTTATAATTGACTAGATTGTAAATTAGATAAGCTGATATTTGTCATATAGAATTATATTTTTGACAATTATAAATAAGATATAAATAATATTTAGGAATTTCCTAAAAAATATTTTTGTATCTTTTTGTATTTATTAATATTTTGATATGATGTAATAAAAATGAAGCTTTGTTTCAAGTTTTTCCATTCTCTTGTCATCAAAAGCGATTAAAAGTGAAGGGAAAAAAAAAAAAAAAAAAAGAGTAATTACAGATGGATTACTGAAAGAATATCAGGCTGAACATGCAAATTAGTTTCTGCTTGGGCAGTCTGCATTCTTAAAATGAATAATTTAAATTGAAATGTTCATATTACATTAGCATCCCATCACTAAATGAATGGCTAAAATCACTTGAATATTGATAATTTTACCTTATATTTGATTGCTAATGGTGGTATGATGTGACTGTAGAATTTTATGTTTTCTGTTTATAGCATAAAGATTAACCTGATTTCTTACTTGACATTTCTTTGCAGGCAGATGAATTAGGTAAAGCTTTATTTTTATGGAATGATTGGTACTTTTCTGTTTATCAGGTCCAGCTTCAGAAATATGTTTATGTGTATATATATGTCTATCTATACGAGCGGTTGTCAACCTTTAAAACTTCACGGACCACTACATACATAATTTTATATTTGGTGGCTCACTAATATTAATTAAAAAAAAGATAAATACATTTATGCAATAATAATCAGCAAACTACACATATTTCGTTCACATTGAAAAATTACTTGAAAAGTACAAAAATCAGTACTTTTCTGTTTCGCCGTCGCAGATCTCGCCAAGCAGACTTTGTTGATGACAACATACAGTATACACATAAAAAATGTTAACAAATGTTAATTCTAAGAATTTTTTTATTATTTTATTTGGAACTATTATATGCGCCCTCAGGTCGCCAAACATTTTTGGCGAGAAACTCCATGCTGCCATATTACTATATAAATTTTTTGTCTACATTTTGAAGTTTAAGCCTAAAATGTCTCCTTTGAACACACAATTTAAGCTAAAAATTCGAAGCAAAAACAAAAAATTTAGATAGCAAAAACGTAAAGTTTCTAGCCAAAATTATTTGACAAGAATCACTGTACACAGCGATATATTTTAACTTAAAAAACGTCTACGAATTGCACAATCTAGGCAACGAACAAATCTATGAACTACGCACACCTCGCTTTAATAAATTAACATAACAACAATAAATTTCAAGGAGTACCATGTACACAGCATCCTGTTTAAACTTAAAAAAAAATCTACGAATTGCACAATCTAGGCATTGCACACAAATCAACCAAATAAACTAAATTAAATTACAAACAATTCAAAAAACAACAAAAACACCAAAAATTCATAGTAAAAAAACAATGAACATAACATTCTACAAAATAAAAACAGTGAAATAAAATGCACTTACCATAATACATTACTGAATAAAATTTCGGCAGTCATACAACGTTTCTGAACGAAAGTGCCACGATTTTGCTATATCACGTCTTTCTGAGATTCAAAATTTCGAAAGTAACGATAAAAACTTCCTCCAAAGTTAACTTGCTGCACCAAAACCCCAATCCAAATCTTAAACTCCGCTGAACCATTTGACTGCAAATCCACAAGAGCTATCAGAAATGCCCTTCTTCGTCCAAGTTCTCATAGCAACTCCGCATTTCGCACTCCGTTTTAAAAGTCACGTTTTAAAATCCTCATAAACATACCCGTGAACAAAAGACTCGTTAACAACGCCAACATTGTACCTATTAATAATAAATTTACCTTCCACACAATCTAAAATATGCGACTGAAATCTTCCCACCATGTCTCTAATTGTAACATAGGCCATTTCAAAACACGTACGACATGAACCAACAAGCAATTAAACCACTCCAGGAAAAGATTTTTCAACGTGAAGAGTTGCCATACAACACGCAATTGTGCCAAAAACCAGCGCAGAACACATATCGCCACATTTGGTGAAATTAGGGCACATTTGTTTTAATATGGTTTAAAATTTTGTGAAAAGCTAATAAATAAAGACAATAAATTTGTAAAAAGACATTAATTTAAAAATTTACTATGCTTTCATGGTTCAACATCCTGATTTGCCTATTCGTATCACGTAACCCTAAGTGATCTCATCTCACGTAAACTACTACAAAAATCTAATTCTCTCAGTAATTATCTACATTAATTTCAAGTTAAATCTTAGTTTGGAATAGAAGTTTAAATGCAAGAATTATTTAAATTCGTACGAATAGCTTACTCAGAAATAAAAAAAACCGCAGTACTTTACTTCGCTAGTGCATTCTCATTAGAACTCATGAATTGAACACTTGATGTTGCCTTTTCTGTATTTTCGCCTTTGGGTGAGCGGTGTGATTGCATTCTAATTGACTTAATTACCGCAAATTGTCTTGGATAAAATTTAACTATCTTTAAAAATTCTATGTAATTGTATGCCAGTATTGACAAAAGCAATCAATCTGATAAGAAATGGCTGCGACTTGTTTTGAAACTGAGGCGTAAAAGGTTACCAGCGAAGATGTTCCGTTTGGCATCAGTTGTACCATTATTGGCAACGTTATCGTTTGCGCTTTCAAAACAGAAATCTTACCTTCTTGTACAGAAAGTTTTACATTTCCATATCACTGAAAAGGAACTTCATGTAAAGCAAGAACAAACACAGAGCAATATCAATTAACTGTCAGTATTATGCCCCCAATTTTTAATTATTGTAAACATAATAATCATCTCTTACTCAGCAATGGCGCTATCGATCAACAGTTAGATAAAACAAAAGCTTAAATTTCCATGATGCAATTATAAACAACAATGCGGATGGTTCTCATAAAAATCTATCAAGATGCATATTGACACAATGAAAACTGTTTTATTAACTACCCCAATAGCATATGTTTGTAATTCTAAAGAAAAGAGAATTCCAGTTCACTCTGTTATTGATAACAGCAGCATATCCATGGATGCCAACTCTCACTTTCAAATGTTGCTAGATACACCTGCAAAAGTAGCTAAAAAGTCGCTAAATTCAGAAGGAATTTTCCTAAGAGTAGTAGCTAAAATTAGAAAAAAAAATTATAATCCATATTCCATAATAGATTTTGTTACTCGCCATTTTTTAAACTGAATCTTCATAAAAATATAAATAAAGTCCCAATTTTTCTGCGGACCATCAAAAAATTTTCACGGACCACCAGTTGCCAACTGCTGATTTATACTATGCATGGACATATGTATGTATGCATGTATGCATGTGTACACACATATATACATGCATGCATTTTTCAATCCGTTTCCAATAATAGAAAAGGACTGAATGATTCCTTAAAATAGGACATACTTAAGCCTTTTTTTAAGGTTTATTGCTGCTTTTATTTAACACTATTATACTTTTATTAAACTCTTTTATTATACTGTTATAAGAGTGGAATCCTGATTATCCGAGTTTTCATTAACTGAGATTCTGTGTTATATAATCCCAATGCAGTAAATAAAATGAAGGTCATTAAAATAATGTTGCTGAAAGGTAAACAATCTGTAGATTTGAGTTTTAGCAATAATTCAAACCATAAAGATAAGAACCCCATCATTATCACATTTGAGCTCAGTAAGCTCGATGCTGAGTGAAAAGAATCAGTTGGTTTTTAGTTTTCATATTGCACCTCATGTACGTAGCTAATTTTACAACAGCAGAGCAACATGAGCTGCTTTGGCCTTTTTTATGTGTGTGTGTGTGTGTGCTCTAATGAGAGCTTGGGGAACATTGATTGAAGATTTTATCATTAGAAGAAAAGCTTGTTAATATTAATAGGCTAGATCAGGTGAAATGATTAAAAAGGCAGCTAGTGAACAGAATAGAAAAGGCACTGCTTTATGCTGAAGAGGAAGATGACATATCAGCAGCTGACATGATGTTGCAGCATCTATGTAATATGACGTCAAGAAAATTAGGCAACACAATGAAACGTAAGGCTGTTACTGATTTTTTGAAAATGTGCAGTAGGTTAGGTATATGGTACACCATCTCATTTGTACTGCAGGTACACATTTTCAAGTATATTTTACATATCATATTTAGTACTACATGTATATCTCTACATTTCTACGTAACAGTATTTGAACATACTTAAGTTTTATATTATTATTTACCTGCATGAATTCAGTATTTTAGTAAATTCCCTACAACATATCCATTAAGGCTATAGTATTAAAATTTTCTTTGTATTAATTTGTGTTATCTAAGTTAACATCAGTCTACATTAGCTGAGATAATCAGGGTTCTGCTGTACATAGTTTGCAGGTTATTTTCTCAGTATGTCTATTGTCTTATGTATGTGCATGACCAGATTTGTTTGGCATTTAGCCAATGGTGCTTCCATGTTTACCTTAGTAGAAGTTGCCAAATTTTCAGAATGGGCCGAACTCTGGAAACGATGCTCATAACGATCTTTCAGTTAAGTAACATCTTTACATATGCGGTCCCCCCCTTTTTTATGTATTCCAAGTTCCAGTGGTTTTTGCAAGCAAGTTGTGGTATTTTTTACCTTTATTTTAAAATGTGCATTTGGGGAATTTTCTAGCAGTAAAAGAAACTGCAGTGAAATTTCTGCAGGAATACAAATTTTTTTCACGGAATCTCTAAAGAGAAAACAGTGAGATGTGTTTGGTAGATAGCTTGTGCTGCTGATGTTTGCACAATATTGAGTCTCTGTAGCGAAAACAGATCACTGTATACTTATAAAGAAGAAAGTGCAAAAAGTTGCAGAGAGATTTGGAGATATGCATTTTATTTTTTAAATATATCATATAATCCATATCTAATAATTAAAATTTGTAATTTAAATTGCAAAAGTATGTTGTCTTTTTCTGTGTTCATAATTTTTACCAATTTATGTTGTATATCAATAGTCTAGAAATTAAAAAAAAAAAAAAAAAAAGTCATGAAAACCATCAACTTGCAGTCGATAAGTACTTTTCCATCTGTAAAATATCATCAAATTATGCCAATGTGGTTATATTAATACATAGGCACCCAACCAAGTTTTTGCCTTGCAGAGTTTCCATTGGTAACAATTGAAAGCCGGCAAATAAGATTTGATTGATAATCTTGAATGAGTAGCAGAATTAGCTTTAGTGATGGATTTATGAAGCTGGAGACTCATCCCAATTGAATTTTCAAAGGCTTAAGACTCGTAGTATGTTTATAGTTTTTAAAAATTAATTAGTGTGAAGCCCTTTGGAACATGGAACCCTTCATGATTTTAGCATGTGTGACCCCTAAATGTGCTTATTGGTGGCTTTGCAATTATTATTGTTACTAAAGGGCAATCTGATATGATTTCACTGGCATTAATCATGCTCTGTTAGGCTTTTAATTAATCATGATCTATTAGGCATTTAATGTATCTCAAAAACCAGTAATTAAAGCAAATTTAAGGGCTTCAAAGAAAGATTGAGCTAACACGCTCTCCTTTTTTTAAAAAAAAAACAGTTAATCAGTTTTTGTATTTTGTTCGTTACTTTTTATAAAAAGGTGTAATTTCTTTCTGTGTGACATATTTGATGATCATAAATAGACATGAATAATTTTTAATTTAGGTTTTAAAATTTTATAAATTAACTCTTAAGTTTTTAAATTTTTATTTTGTATTTAATCAGTATATTTTATTTGACTGATAAGTATAAATTAATTAGTATTTATTAGTTATAATTATTAATACTTTAAATATTTTCATGCTATGAGTAAATAAACTAGTTTTATATATATATGACATATTTGAACCTTTGTCATTGTATTATATGATAATTTATCATCGGCACCATTATTTGCTCATGTATTTTCCCTTTTTTAATTAATTTACCATCTAAAAATCAAGAGGGACAAATATGTTTGTTTACCATTTTTGAAGATGAAGCTAAAAAAACAGTTTTATACTTCAGACATATTTCCCTTACAAATAAAGTATTAAGAGAGAAAAGAAACATACCAAAATAAAACATAAAATTAGGCAAAATAACATGTTTCAGTCGAAGAAGCTCTAAAATGTCTTGAAACCAGGTTTTGAGATTTCCGTTTCACATATACTGAAATTGTTAATTTCTCTTAAAGTCTCTTTGAGACCAACACACTTCATTTTCCAAAATGAATATTATTCCCAAACTGAAGGATTAGCTATGGGTAACCCCCTCTGTCCTGCTTTTGCTGACATTTATAAGCACTATTTTGAAGTAAAATTATGTGAGAAACTATCTTTTCATCTGCGGATTCCCTTTGTAAACGACACATTCACACTTTTTTTATGATAATAAAGAAAATTTATCACAAATTTTATTTATTATAAATTCGATTGATTCTGCCATCCAATTCACTTTTGAAACTGAATTTGACAATACTCATCCCTTCCTTTATGTCCTTATAATCTGCAATGAATCTGATTGCAACTTTGCTATTTATCGAAAGCCCATCTCTGTTTGTTTGCCTCTCGATGTCAAGTCATGTAGCCCAGCTAAACAAAGAAATGGCTTCTTTTTACTGTTGTGTGTTTCATTCTCTCAGAGTATGTTTCCCAGAATCTTTGCTTGCTAATAAATTCAATTTTTTTTTTAGATTAGTTACCATTGATTGAGTATTTTCTCCCATGGTTATTGATAAAGCCTCGAATAAATTTTCATCTTGCCTTCAAAGAAGACATTCTGCTTTTGAGAATGACATTTATAAATTGTACTTCCGTTAGTTACAAAATTGTGTGGATTCTCCAGAAATTCAATTTTCAAGTCATTTCCTCTCCTATCAATAAAATCCATGGTTCTATTCTTAAAGATTCCATTTCTGACTTTAGTTCTTGGGGAATTTACAGCATATTTTGTCAGTGTGGTTAGAGATACATTGACTAAACTAATAAAAGTTTTGCATCATTATGTCTGACAAAGTGAAATTAACACGTCTTCATTAGCCAGTCATAGATGGGAATTTAATCACAATTTTGACTTTGTGTCTCCAAAAACTATTCAGAAAGGGTCTTCCATCAGAGAATTAGATTTTCTTGAAACTTTTCACATTCTCAAAGATTTTTCTTGTTTAGTTGATGATGATAATTTCAATTCAGTCCTTCCTAACACTTTTAAAATTCTGTTAACTTAATGTTTCAATATTTGTTACTATTTCTGCTAACAGACTGCCCTACCTTCTCGTTCACTTGACTCCTTTTGGCTATAAATATAATTGTGGCTTTTCCTTCATTGTAAATTTCTTTGCTGCCGATAAAAAGGGATCTGTACCTGTTTGCCTTTGAAACTGATAGAATCTTGTCTAAAACCTCTGTCAAACTAAAGCTAATTAAAACCTATGTCCTTTAATGCTTTTCCAAATTTAAATGTAACAGTTGTTTCTAATTGTCATGTTTCACTTACTTTTTTATGTTTTCTTCTATTATAAAAAAACTGATTCATTATGATTTTCAATTATTGTGTGTTATTAATAAGTATTAATATATGTAATTGAGAATAATTAATGTATTTACTTCAATCAGATGTAATCTCCAAGAATGAATTTTGTATGATTTAAAATAAATTCTAGGACACACTTATACACAATAAAACAAATACAAAATGAATTCAGTGCCTTAAATTGAGTATAATTGATGCTGCTGTGTAGAGAATTAGTAAACATTTTATGGTCAAAGTAGATTAGGTTACAAGCTGTCCGACATATCACTAGCTGTCTTTAACTGAGATCTAAAAATTTATAATGCTTTTAATATACCCCATACATATTTTAATACGTTTTTGTATTTTTTTAATATAAACAATATTTTTTTGAATTGTTGAAAAGACTACTGTGGATGCAATCCCACTCTGTTGGCTGAGATTTTTAAGCAATGGCAGTTTCTTCTGTAAGTTTTAGAAATTTTTTTGGTTTTTATTTTATTAACATGAATTAAAGTATTTTTCTATTTGGAAGTTCTCTAAGTAGGCACTACACCTGAAATAAGTAGACCTCCTGATTTACCGTAATCATTTATACTGTATTTGGAATAATACTCAATTGCATCAAGTATTGAGGAGTAATCTGTTCAGAAAATGTGACTCTGTAAAAATGATCATAAGAGAAATTGTTTGGCATGATACACTGGGGAGGTCATGGAAACATCCATTCAATAAATCTACTTTGCTACAGAGAATTGAATCAGAAGTTTCACTATAAATGCTCAGTTTTAGTCAGTAATTGTGAATGTATAGATTATTTAAAGAAGATTATTTAGTATTTTTTGTAATTTGCACTTGTATTGCAGTGCATTTATATTAAAGCCATACTGAAATTTCTCATTTTCAATACTTAAAATTTATTTAAATTTATTTATTTATTTAATATTGAATTCTTTTTAAATAAGGAAAGGCAAAGGCTAAAGTATTTCCAATGAATTTTACTGTGTGCTGTAAGAGGACAGAGACTCTATATTTTGCATACAAGTTCTTATTTTTTCTTTATACTTTTTTTAAAAAAAGTATTGTCAAAAATTAATAATTTCAAACTTGTATATTTTAGTAATTAAATTAGTTATGATATTAAAATCTATATAAAAAGCAGAGTGTACTGTATTAAAAATAAAAAATAAAGAAAGCTAAAATGATATGTTACAGTACAAAGTCTGTAATCTGGACGTCCATTATCCGGAATGATGTATAATCCGGACCTCAAAGCGACAAACTTTTTTTTTTTTTTTGTATGCTTTACACATGTGCGTTTAATGTATAACAGAAGGTATAAGCTAGACTAAAATTATCTTTACTGATTCTCAGGCATTTCAGTTAATGTTGCAGATTGCGCTGTTCCTTAATCTTCTAATTGGATCTGGCTTATTATTTTTTGCAGACTGTTAGAGCAATTTTATAAAATTAAGGTTGAACTTTCGATTATGTTAAAAAGTGTCCAATTCTGGAGCTGCCAAGGGATCCACAAAGCGAAAGCATATTTCGATGTCCATCAAACAAAAAGTGGAGTAGCTGCAAAAAATGGATAAAGGCATATCCGTCTCAAAATTATGTGAGGAGTATGGCATTGGAAAGTCCTCTGTATATGACACAAGAAAAAGGAACTTTTTGAATTTTTTGTGGAAGCATCTTAAACAACTTACATTGAACAAATGTTTGATAAAGTAAACAAATAAATATCAAGCTTTTTTTTGGGGGGGGCGTAAATTTTGATACCCTTTAGAACATAATTACTCTTTATTTCATAATTTACAGTTTCATGTTTTTAATTGTATAATTTCTGCATGCCATCTGACCATATTTAAATTGATGATCTATAATCCGGAATTGTTTGAAGTTCCGACGAGTCTGGATTATGGACTTTGTACTTTATCTAAATTTTGAAAAGTAGAAATATTTTCAAGTCTAATATTATTAAAATTAATTTGTTTCAATATGTTTTATAGATATGGGATATGTCAGATCCTCAAGGGAAAGGATTCTTGGATAAGCAAGGATTCTTTGTTGCTCTTAAACTTATTGCACTTCAGCAAAATGGGAAGGATCTCACTATAGCAAATATGAGCCTTGATGTGCCGCCTCCACAAATGGTAACAATTAAACAGTAAACTATTACTTTTTAAATAAATATTTAGCAAATGTTATAAAATTTGATGCCAGAATTTTACCACTCTGTAACTTATATTCAACTACTATTTTTTATGTTGAAAATTATAATGTTGTTTAAACTAGTTGGGCTTCTTCTAGCTATGCCATAAACCCTTGCCGAACATGGGGTTTACATCATTAACACACTACGCTTATGGCAAAATTCTGTTCCACAAAGGTAACTTTCTCTAGAGAAAAAGGGTTAGTTATAGTTCAATTTATGAAAGTATGTATAATTTACACAAACCTAAATATTATTGTAATTAAAAGGGGGAAATGAAATAAATGTTAATTAAAAGAATTTCTGTTACTGCTTGATTAGGTATATGATACAGTTATATTTTTAAAAAGCTGGTAATTTTTACTTAGAGCGATGCCTGATGTAATTAATTAAGTGTTACACAGTAAGGAGTTCAAAGTTTTTCAGTACCTCTCATAAAGTGTTCTTTCATTTCTCCCTTCATTTGGGTCAATCTCCATTATGAAATCAGACAGTTTCTGTGCCTTTCTTAACAGTTCATTTAACTTCTTGTACATTAAATGCTGTATTATCTTCTTCACTATTGGTGCTTTCTCCATCGGTGGTGTTATAAGGTAATCCAGTTTTTCATTTATCATTTAACAATCATCAGAAAATATTGCTTTTGTAACTTTCACAATTTTCTTGGCTTCATTTTCAGTCGATGGAAGTCATTTAACCCGTCAGCACATGCGCTGGGGTAAAATCCACCCCATGTGTAGTCTTTTCTTAGAGAAATAAGGGAAGATCGTATGTGATCTTTCTAGTACTTCATGTACCTTTCCAAGAGTCGTCCAGAGGAATTTTTTCCGTGTCCTTGGGATTTTGTGTCTTCGGGGAAGGAATGTGAAGTTGAATTGTAGCTACCCCGCGCGTGTACTAACGTTTCACTTCTAGAGAGACATTCATTGAGATGAGTGCGTATGAGCGAGAATAGTAACGATTGCGGGTTCTTCTCGCTAGTCTTGAAATTGATACCGAAACTGAAGATTCCGATTCTGAGTGCAATAATATTTCTGAAAGTGCTCGCGGAACTGATTCTGACCAAAAATAGAATGATTCACATGATTTAGGGAGCATATCTTCTTTGACATAGATGATTTTTTATGTTTGAAAAGATGGAACAATTTGAAGTAAAAAATTATCCTCAAAAAACATTCGGACATGGCCGCATGATGTAGTGACACATTTACCTGGTGTTATGAAGAGCTTTAGAAATTAAAAAAATCAACTGAGCGATTATTGCAAATTTTTGATGAAGATATAATGGAAGATTTGGTAAAATCAACAAACATTTACATTTCATCAATAAGAAACAAATTCTCTAGAGAAATTGATGCACAAGAGACAAATGTAGCTGAATTGAAGGCATTTTTCCTATTATATTATGCTGGACGGCTGAGAGCAGCACCTCTCAAAGCAAAGATTTGTGGTCAGCTGAAGAAAGCGAAATAACTGTTTTTCAAATAAATGTCTATCAACCGATTCCACTTCCTGTTAAGGTGTATTAGGTTTGATGACATAAATTTACAAGCAGAGCGAAAGATGATGGCTAGACTTGCACTTACTAGAAATGTTTTTGAAATATTTATCAAAAACATATGAAAAATATATTCTTTATCTGAATATTATACTATAGACGAAAAATTAGAACCCTTTCGAGAAAGGTGCCAATTCAGACAATATATAAAAAGTAAGCTTCCAAGATATGGAATAAAAACTTTTACTTTGTGCGATTCTCATACATTTTACGCATACAACTTAGAAATTTATGCGGGTCAGCAGCCTGTCTGACTATATAGACAGTCAAATGTGGCATTGGATGTTGTACAAAGACTTATTGCATCCACAAGTGGCAGTGAAAGAAATATAACTATTGACAAGGACATTCTTTTGGCCAATGAATTATTGAAAAAGCACAAATTGACATGTTTCGGGATACTTCAAAAAGATAAGCGTGAAATTCCAGAAGAATTTCTGCCAAATAAAACAGGCTTTTGTACTCTCCGCGTTTTGGGTTTAGAGGTAAAGAATTAACTCATACTTCATATGTTCCAAAAAAGAGTAAATCGGTTCTTGTTCTATCATCCATGCATGAAGATAATCAAAGATCCATTATCTAAGGAGCAGCTCAAGCTCAAAATGATAGCTTTTTTGCAACTGTATAAAAGGTGATGTTTATACTGTTGATGAGTTATGTGGAACTTAGTCTGTTTCAAGAAAATGTCACCACCATTGCAGATATAAATGCTTTTATTATTCATCGACCAAGTGATTATTAACCGAAGTACTTTTCTGAAAGATTTAGCATTAGAGCTTGTAAAAGAACATGTCTGAAAATGGGCTGCAATTCTATCTCTCTCGAAAGAGCTCAAAACTGGAGTAAAAAGGTTGGCAGGAATAGAAGATGCAGCAGACCTTCACCCTTAGAAATTGTTTGTAAAAAAATGTTGTCACGTTATGTGAGGATTGTTCAAAACGAGATTATTTGAATAATTAAACTAAGTTAGGAGGGGGGGGCGGAAAACTTACGTGTTATTTATATTTTTTAATATTCGTATTTAGAATCTATTCTTTGATATGAACAATTGTATGACATTATATTGTGTTTTAAGGAAGAAAGCTAGTAAGAATGCCGCCTTTTCAGTACTATTCCGTTTTGAGGGCCGTAAAAAAAATTCAGCGAAAATGTATGCATGAAAGCGCCAAATCTAGCAAACATGCCCATTTAACAGCGTGCCAAATCTAGTGTATGCGCTGATTTCAGATTGCGTAAGTTTATATAGTTCTATACTTCTTAGGATGCCATTGAAATACTAGTTTAATTTTTAATTCCTTTTTTTGATATCCTATGGATTTAACAATTTGGGAATTGCCTATGATGAAAAGTCTGCGATAGAATTTTGGGTAAAGTGCAGAATCACCCACTGCTTGACACGTTTTTAAGAATTGCACATACTCGGTATCCATGTACACATCGACTTATTTTCACTTAAAAAAAAAATCCCAGAATTGCACAAAAATGGCACTGCATACACCCTTGACTTTATATATGTACACATCGACCTATTGACACTTAAAAAGTAAAAGAAAATTGACAAAAATTATGCACATTATTCTTTAGCGATAACTCGGTAGCAAAATATTATATGAAATTAACCTTTCATCTAAATTAAAACATCAGTATTAGATAGTTATTTACTATTATACTTCCTTTCCTGCGTTAGGGTTGCCGCAATTACTTTTGGCAGCATTGGCATCAATAATACTTTGGCAATTTTTTACGGCCCTCGAAACCGAATAGTACTGCCTTTTCATATTCCTCTAATGCTTTATCAAACCAATCTTTATAATAAATACTTATGTTTAAAAAGTATGTACATATGAAAACTGATTTTTCTAATATAAGAAGTCATATATGTAGCTTATATAAGTTAGTAGTTTTGCATAAATTTCAATTTTTATGGCTTACTTTAGGTAACCAGTATGGAAATGTTTGTACAGTCAAAAGTCGTTAATCCGGACTCGTCGGGACTTCGGCGATTCCGGATTATAGATCATCAGTTTAAATCTTGTAAGATGGCATGCAGAATTTCTAAAATTAAAAATATGAAACCGTAATTTATGAAATAAAGAACAATTATGATCTAAAGAGTATCAAAATTTACCAAAAAAGAAAAAAAAAAAAAGCTTAATATTTATTTGTTTACTTTATTAAACATTTCTTTCACTGTAAGCTGTTTAGGTTGCTTCGTTTTATGTGATAATATTTTCTCTTTAATTCTATAAACAGACATAATTTCTTGTTCAGTTACAAAGTTCCGCTGTTCAAGTCCCATAATTGCTGTGCCGAGAATACCGACTAACTTGTCAATCGAAATTTTTTCTTTTTCACTAACCTCTTTGTCACCTTCTTCATGTCTTTATCCATTTTTTGCAGCAATTCCACTTTTTGTTTGACGGACATCGAAACATACTTTCGTTTTGTAGATCCTTTGGGAGCTCCAGCATTGGAAATTCTATTTGACATAATCGAAAGTTCAAGTTTACTTTTATAAAATTGTTCTTACAGTCTGCAAAAAATAATAAGCGCATCCAATTCGAAGATTAAGGAACAACGCAATCATCAATATTAACTGAAATAGATAATTAGATAATTTTAGCTTATACCGTCCGTTATACATTAAACGTGCATGCGAAAACGTATTCTGCGCTTGTGCATTCGCATATGCGCAGTCGTAAAGGTCTTACGCGCATGCGTAATCGCCTTTGCGCATGTGTCAACGTGGCGCATGCGCAGAAAGTTTTTAGTTTTGAGGTCCGGATTATAGATCATTCCGGATTATGGGTTTCCAAATTAACGACTTTTGACTGTATAACTTAAAGTAAGATTATCTTGAATTAAAATTGGAAAAAAGGTTTAACAGAATTCACAAAGCTATTTGTCATTTATACATTCATTTAAAACATAGAAAATGCATTTATTTATACTTTGGGGGGTGAACTCCGAAAAACAAACACTGGGGTAAAATTTGTCCCGTGCGTGTACTAACGTAGCGCAGTGATGCGCGTCTGCTGAAGGGTGTTGGAAAATATGACTTATTGTAACCCTTTTACTGCATCATCTCCCCTCCTTGAAATGTTTATTAGGCTTGGTTCTTATTTTAAAGTAATATAGTAGTTACTTCTACTTCTTTTTCTTACTGCCACTGTTTGCGTTTTGCCACTGTTTCAACCTAATTAAGATGCAAAAACGAAACGTGATGTTACGTCATCTGGAAAGCCGAATTGTGCCGATAGCAGATTGGTTGCCGTGAGATGACGTCATGCTTACTTCTGGTATAAGTATCTCACTTCGCTCTGGCTCAGCCCTCCAGGCAGATCTGGAGAGAAGGAAATTCCCGATAAGTAAAGTCAAGCAGT